TTTAAGGAGCCCTGATATCAGAGGGTAGCATTGTAATGGGGAGTAGGCAGAAATATTTTCTGTGTGAATCCATTACTTTGATCCATCACTTGTCACACCCCGCAGGGAGATTTATTGGGACGAAGAGTTTTCAGTGTTCGCCTTTCCCGTACATCTCTAAATCTCTAACGTAAACTCCACTACAAATGCACTTGTGCAGACAACATTATGTCTGATAGTCCCCTTGAGCATCTACAAGAATGATGTATCTCCTTATGTAACCGTTACGTAATGAAATAAGGACATGCAATGAAAAGCTATTGAAACTAGAAAAGCACTCAGAGAGCGCAGACCTCCGCCAAGGCAGCAAAGTCTCCATCCAATGCCGTTTCACCCCTAAATTTTCGATATTTTTGATTATTGAATATTGATTGATTAATGATGCCTTCTGACAGTTCCTGAAAATTTCATCAAAATCGGTCCATAACTTTTTGAGTTATGTTGATGACAGACAAACAGACAGACAAACAGGGGTGAAAACATAACCTCCTTGGCGGAGATAATAATTAAGCCTTTTATTGATATGCAACATGTTAAGACATGTTTATCTTGGTCCGTCAAGAAGGTAGTCACTTTCCTGCCACCCCACCCCCCTTTACGCATCCTTAGATGGAATATATATTGCTCTCACAGTACATGCTGAAATAAATGGATCAAAATTTTTTAGTAATACGACATTCTCGACGTCAAGATATCGCTCAGACCACGAAGTAACATTATGGTCCTGCTAAGATGTTGGCTAAAATCATGCTAATCATTTAAATTGCACTCTTTCTTCGATAAATATAAAACATATCCGATAGCACCATTTTAAAATACGCAGTGTCTTAATAACAGCAGTCTCAGTACATCGTCGTCTGCCAAGTAGGTAATATGTCCAATATGAATAGCAAAGAAGAATAGGCCCGCATCTGGCTTCCATTCCATCAACAGCTGACATAATTTTTTTCTCTGAATACCAGAGAGGATCATGAGATGTAAACTATGAGTTTAGTTCCGCGTTTATCTATATTTATCTTTCTATTCGTTTCATTATCTAATTCTCTATTAATTTTTCTATTTTCTTTTATACTTTTTGCTATTTGCTTGTATTCGCGTTGTCTCTTCTTGGATAAACCAGCCCGGGGCAACAGATGAGTGTTGGAAGTGCTGTAGATGTGCGAATTGGAGACACAATCGAATTTCCTCGCAATCGCAATAATATAGGGAAATAAGCTGGTCAAAATTCTTATTTCAAGAGTGGAATATTAACGTTTTTTTTTTTCAGAAACCAAAGGGAGGGGGCTACGTTTGATTTCACCTGTGACGTTACAGAGCACGATGAGAGCCAAAGCGGATCATAATTTGGCGGTTTTAGTTTCGAGTAGTCTTTGCAATTTCTAATGTTTCACTGGGGAGTTGCCCCGGGTACTGTAAGATCATGTGACTAGTCTTGATAATCAAGGCCAGAAAGGAGGGGAAGATATATAAAAAAAAACAAGAAAAAAGAATGATTGGGTAAAACAATAGTGGCGCCGTGACTTTTGAACAAAATAAAGAAAAAATTATCTTGCTGAAAGTCCCACCGAGAAGACAACACCCTCAGATGAAAGGGCAGTAATTTCTGTTTCACCGGTTTGGATATTGACTCAATTCAAGTTTGAATTGTTGCGTATCTGGTAAACTATAGAGATCAGTGTCCATCTCCGTCCACACCCTTTGTACACTCTTCGTAGCCTAGTGGATTAATGTAGACTTTCTTCTGAGATGCACTACATGTATTAATAGTATTTTTAAGACCACTATACTCAGCCTGTTAAACATGCAAGTGCCTCACAAGAAACTGGCGCGTTTTAACTGCATCTAATCATGCTGACATGCTTGAGAAAAATAGTAACGTTTAGGTAGGGGCAGGGCCTAAAAGTTTTTTTTTTTTTTTTTTTTTTTTTTTTTTTTTTTTTTTTTTTTTTTGGGAATAAACCGTCCTAGTTCGGATCATGCATAGGCCCTATAAACATGTGTACCCCGACGAGGAGGAATATGAATAATGTGTGTACAGGTAGGTCTACACTATGTAAATAATTCGATATTGCATAAGGTACGTTTGCCTTCATTTGTCAGATATGTGACCATTACACAAATGGTGGAAAAAGGTGGCCAATCAGGGTAATAGTTATAAATAGCAACTCGCTTTACAGGCACAACAAATACCAGTTATAGTCCAGCAATACTGCAATGTCATTGTCGAAGTTGCGTTCGATAAGGTAAGCAACATAGTATGTTTCCTAGTTATGACTATATATGCTAGTTTTAAGATGGACATGAATAGGCCTACTAAGTGACATTGCGGACTTAATGCGTCAAAGGGTGGTTTAATATACAGAGGATTTTAATATATAGGTCACAATTATGTTTTGTCGCAGGCCTACATATCCCTAAGTACTGAATAAGATGAGAACGCCGTAATGGCTAGGTTACATGCATGCACATGGTTTATAGAAAAAGCTGTGGCAAAATGGAATGTGGTGTTAAGACGTGTTCTTCTCAGGCCCGAATACTACCTGTTCTCCCTTCTCAATCCCCACCCCTTCCCACTAGCCCCTAGCCCCTCCTCTGAACAACATTCGCGCGCACAATCACCCATGCCACGCATTGTTCGAGTAGTTTTTAAATGGCTTGATAATTTTTTTATTCCAGATCTTGAACTCCTTTGAAACCAGACAAAAATGGCAAGCAAGCGCGTAGCAGTGGTGAGTAAAATCTCTCTCTTTCTCTCTCTCTCTCTCTCTCTCTCGCTCTCTCTCTCTCTCTCTCACACACACACACACACACACACACACACACACCTGAGCATATGTACATACGTACACGTGCGTGATACGATATTAACTTCCCTGTTTGAATAAAAAATAAAATAAAAACAATTTTTTCTTAAAATTTTAAGGTAACTGGGGGTAACAAAGGAATAGGCCTCGCTGTTGTCAAGACCCTGTGTCAACAAAATCCTGACTGGATTGTATATTTAACAGGTAAGATAATGTGTTTTAGTTTGTTTGAGTGGGTAGGATTATGTGCTATTGTTTGATACGAGTATTTCTGAGGCCTGAGAACATTGCAAATGAACAAAAATTCCCTTTAACATCATCATTCCAATAATAATATTAATAATGATTATTATGATTATTATTTTTGTTATTTTTGTTGTATGGTAATATATTTTTAAGATATATATCTAGTTAAATGAAAATAATGAAATGAATATTTATAATGATAATGTAACCAAACTGAAAAATGAAGGTATGAACTGAACATAAATTTGTTGTTGTGCATCTGTACGTTCAGCTCAATTTATTTCCTTATATTAATTTCTTTTCCATGTCTTTTTTTATTACACATTGATCTTGATCAGTAATGATATATATTTTTCCTCAGCCCGTGATGTCGGACGTGGGCAGGCAGCAGTGGATGCCCTAAAGAAGGAGGGCGTCAGTCCGTCATTCCACCAGTTAGATATCAACAGCGCGGACAGCATCGCGGCACTACGGGGTTACCTTGAGAAAACTTACGGAGGGCTGGACGTACTGGTGAACAACGCTGCTATTGCGTACAAGGTTAGGTGCACGTTCACTACTATCCCCCCCCAGGGGCGGATCTAGGTTTAATTGAAGGGGGGGGGGGTGCGCGGATGCGAAGCTGACCTCCCCCCCCCCACCCCCTATGCGTGGGGATCGGGGCCTGCTGAAGGGTCCCGAATTGTTTGGGTAATTTAGAGGGTTTGACGGTGCCATTTGGTACGGTTATGAACTACATGTATGATTCAGCTAGTCAAAATTCAAATTGCAACAGGGGGACCAATGGTGTGATTTTTTTTTCAGAAATTGAAGGTGGGGTCAGGACCCCCTGAAACCCCCCTAAAATCGCCACTGCTGTGGATGGCGTTTGGGGGATTTTCCAACCCATGGAGTGTACCTTTAAGGTTGAAATTTTGGTAATACTTTTAAACAATAACTCATTATTTGTTATCATTAACAAAAATATCTATTTTGTGCCATTTGAGTATAATTTTTTAAAAAATCAAGTTTGATTTCATAGATATTAGGTCTCTTGTTAATACATGTTTTTAACACACGCAAAATAATGAAGGTAACATATACCCAGCTTACACAGAACGTGTTGATAACAGGGTTATATATTGGTTAGACCATTCAACAAGTGTTAAGAGAACGTTATTCTAACGTTTTTCACTGCCACTGTCGTCATCATTGATCCGAGAAGCTTGCCAGCAAGTTCTATTAACGTATATAAATTTTGATGAAATTTACAAACTATACATTTTTGTTAATTTTGGCAAAAACACATGAACAAAGGGCTTCATATTTTGCATCACTGCAGTTTGCATAACTTTAATCATCACACCTAGTATTAAAACGTTTTAACAATGTTATAAAAATAAATAGATAAGTGTCGGTTATATTTACCAATAACGTAAGCAGAAATCGCGCTATAGGGGCATCAACCTGCGTCATTCGTTGTCTTAACTACACCTAGTGGCTGATTACAAATTGCGATTTGTGTTAGTCGGCGATTAGAGCGATGAGAACCCTCGGGCAGTCGGTACCTACCCGGAATTACCGACATGATGAAAAGCTTTTTTAAAACCTATAAAATAGACTTTAATTATGTAATAAGGTTTATCAAAATTATTAAAAAGGTGTTTTCAGGTAATCCTGATAGTTGATTGGTGTTTTTGATGAATTAGTGGATTGTTTAAGCTTCTTTTTAGAAAATTCATTCTAATAATTGCTTACAAGGTCAGCTAACACAGGAGTAGTGAAAAGGTTTAGCAGTGAAATCTCGACTTAGGCAAGTACGCAACGGTCATTTGATAGACAAGTTGGGGGAGTCCATTCATTGTACGGGTGGCAGGTGGGGGGTCAATTGCAAAAAAAAGGGGTGGCAGGTGGGGCGAGTCCACTGCATAAAAGGTGGGGCAGGTCCATTGCATTACAGGGGTGACAGGTGGGGCGAGTCCATTGCACTAGAAGGGGTGACAGGTGGGGCGAGTCCATTGCACTAGAAGGGGTGACAGGTGGGGCGAGGCCAT